AAAAATTTAAAAATACCAAAAACATTTGAACATTTGAAGCAAAAAAAAATAATTTTTTTCAAAACACAGAAATGCTTTTGAAACTTTATATATATATTAATTTATTAACATACCACATGCCCTATATTAATTTATTAACTTCGGAATCTGTTGGATAAAGGATACAAGCCACATAAAATTAGTAGTTTATCTATTAACACACAAGTGATATATAAATAATGAATGTTTAAGACATATAATGGGTGACAAATATAAATTTACCTTCCATAAAAAAAAAAAACATATTAGACATGTGATACATGTGATATTTGGAGATAAGACCAGGAAAAATATAAAAGGTATTGGAAATTCTTTTACTATCAAACATGTTTTATCTGTTTATAATTTAAAATACAACTTGCTTAATAATAATCAATTTTATGACAGAGGCAGCATAGTTATTTTTAAATTTTTACCTTGCTTGATAATTTACATTATTAACAACAAAATAATTTTTATAGAAAAAAAACTTGAAAACACTTATGTGATTATGATGTTAAGTATTTTAATAGTTCATAAGACTCGCCTTGCATTTAGTATAGAAAACTTGGACATGTTAACATGAAATTGATTCAAAAGCTATTCAAGAAAGAGACCTTAGGAGAGGACTTCCATAACTTGACCATAAAAAGAAAGTGATTTTTTATACTTATTATATGAAAAACAAGCTAAAAGCTCATTCAGAACTGATAATCAATTCTTTATAAATTAAACATTACAACTTCTTCATATAGACCTATTATTTCTTATATGTATTTCAAGTCTTGATTGTAAGATATATGCATTCATCATACTAGATTATTATACTCGGTTTATATTGGTTTTATTTACTGCATAAAAACATGAAGCACATGAAAGCTTTTTTAAAATTTTATAAAAGAATTCAAAATGAAATAAAAAAAGAGTTTGATTTCTAAAATTAGAAGTCATCATGATGGAGAATATGAAAATCTTGCATTTGAAATCTTTTGTGAAGAAAATAGTTTTAAGTATGAAGTATAAACTCTAGAGTTCCAAAACAAAATAGAGTTGTTGAAAAAAAAAAACCGATTATTTTAAAAAATAGAAAGTATTGTGCTAAAAAAGTATAATTTGCTTCAAGGTTATTAAAATCATGATTTTGACATGGCACAGAAAATGCAAAATAAATTCGGATCATAAAAAAAAAATTGTAAAATCATAAGGAAATTTTTTGACAATACTTGCACTGAATTGTTTTTGAATTTTTATCAATATCTATACCATGTTGTCATCCTACATCAAGTCTATCACCAAAGGAATTGTTTTTAAATGCCTTGTGTTCAATAATTCAAGAATCAACTTAAATCAACCTTGTAATCAATTCAAACATGATTATTAGAACCAAATTGTGATTAATACAAACACAACTTAGATATTCTATAAACATATTTTATTTTGAAAACATCATAAATAAATAGTCAATAAAATTATGACTATATCAAATAGTGTAAATATTATATCATTTCAAAAAAATTTATAAATATTTTTGAAATATAAAAATAAACAGGGTTTAAAAAAATATTAGATGCTATAGATATTGGTTTAGAATTCAATAATGTATAGAAGCTTATACGGGAGTTAATTTTTTTTTTAAAAAATGATTTTTTTATCTTAAGTTAAAAAAATTTGTTTAAAAAAATATTAGATGCTATAGATATTGGTTTAGAATTCAATAATGTATAGGAGCTTATATGGGAGTTAATTTAAAAAAAAAATTGATTTTTTTATCTTAAGTTAAAAAAATTTAATATTTTTAAATTATTTTAAAAATTTATTATTATTACAGTTTCACACAATTTAAAAGTGAAAGTTGGGCTACTTATTTTGATATTGTCATGTCAAAATATTCATTTTTATGTCAACAACCAATCTTGCATGTGACTTTCTAATAGCAGAAAATAAGTACTCTATAGGATTCTTATTTTTCCTTTAACAGAACTAACCACTAACATACATCCAGCAGTCTGTGCTTGGAGTTGCTTTGCGTGGCCATCAATGTTTTGCCTAAACTATCATTTGGAAGGATAAATTGGGCGGTTAGTATCAAATAAATGGTAAAATGATATATAAACAAGAAATTTCAGGAATATTATAATATATGATGTTTTTTTCAGTTAAAATTGTAAAAACGGTTGTAAACTTGTGATTTCATCTGTTTTTACTGATTTTACCTAATTTAACCCAGTTTTATTTATTTTCGAGTTTTTAAAGTGATTTTACACTTTAAACATGTATTGACCTGTAAAATCATATGATTTTATGAGTAAACTCGCAATTTTAACAACCTTGATTTGCTTTAATATTTTTTGGCGAAAGCCTTAAACACTTCTTGTTATGTTTTAAGCCGAGCTTTCTTTGGATTAATTTTATATAAAACTCGATATGGGCTTTGGTTTAAGCATAATCCTAATATTTTATATTTAAATATATTTGGATTAAAATATTTTATTTTTACTACAAAAAATAATTTAAAATAATTTAATTCTAAATTTGATGAAGATATTTTTCTTAGTTATCCTTCTACTGGGAAAGCATATGGAGTATATAATCATAGGAATTTAGTAGATGAAGAATCATTGCGTATTATATTTGGTGAGTCCAAGCCTTGTGATCTTGACAAGCCTTTGCATGATCTTAAGTAAGTTACTAGAGTTTGGTACGAGAGAGACCAAGCAGTTTTATTTATTTATTTTAAAAGGCTTTAATATGAAAAAAAAATTTCAATGTTATTAATGAAATACAAAAAATATGATTTAATCATTGTGCAAATTAATATTAATGATATTTTAGTTGGTGCTATTAGTAAATCTTTGTGCAAGGAATTTGAAAATTATTTGCATAAAGAATTTAAGATAAACATGATTTGTTTAGATAGTAAATAATTCAAGAAAATTATATGCATAAATAATTTTAAAATGTAAAAATAAATAGATTTTAATTCATGGCGGTTTTATTATTGTTTTAATGCGTTTGGAAATCAAAGAGGTTTGATTGGTGGTGGAGGCGGGCTAGAATTACTGTTATATATGGGGGAGAAAATTGGAATGTCGTACTATTGTTGTATTTATCTTATCTTTACTCTAGGTTTTTTTTTTTCTATTGTTTTTTCCTTGTCTTTTTTGTGTGAACCTAAGCCCTTATTTATAGTGCTAAATCCCTAGGGAATAAAACTCAACAATTAATTTGAAGATTATTTTGTTCTTGTCTTATGAAAATCTTGATTTTTTGAAATTTTATGATTAGAGATCAATTTTTCCAATCTTTTTCTTTTTTTAAAAAATCATAATTAATGTTTTTTAAAATATTCTTATTAACATCTTCCAAGGTCAAGTATCACCTTTTATGTTTTAGTTGAATCTCTACTTTATGAAAGATGATCCCTCTTTGTTTATCTTTTTTTTATTTGTCATTTTACTCTTCTTTTTTTTTTTTTCCTTTTCATTATTTTTTTCTTTATTTGTCATTTTACTCTTCTTCTTTTTTTTTTTTCCTTTTCATTATTTTTTTTTAAATTTTATCTTTACTATCTTAACTTGCCACACACAAAATAATATAAATGAAAGTGCAAGAAATAATGAAACAACTATAAATTGACTAAAGCATATTGAAAAAAAATATTTTTTTTAAAAAAATTTCTATTTTAAAATATACTAAAAAATAGAAGGTTAAAAATGAGTTATGATACTTTTATAGAATATTCATCTATAATGTGAAGAGTTTGAATTTTATTATCTTTTATTTACATATCTTTATATATATATATATGTGTGTGTGTGATCATAGCTATTATAAAAAAGACTTTATATTATAACTATGATATAAGAGTGTTAGGAGCACGAGAGTATGCGATAATTTATCTACCTTTTATTTATCCCTCACATTAAAAAAAAAAATTCTATTTACAATAAATTATCAATTTCTTAAAGTTGAAAGTACTAAACTAAAAGTATTAAATATGTAAGAATACAAAGCCTCCCTATTTGTTTTAGTAAATTTTATTGTTCACACATTTTACATTTTTTTTTATTATTAGATTAACAACGTACTTATACTAACTCACATTTATATGAACAAACGAAACCATTAACCAAAGGTTTTTAGTTAAATTAATTACCTCTTCACATGGGTGATGATTTCATAACATTTATCAAGTATTCAAATTATTTGGAAAGTTGGATTTTACTTGATTTGCTTAAATATATGGGAGGTAAAATCTGGCTCTATTTTTTTTTTAGATTAATATAAATTGGGTTGATTTATATATACTTCAATTAATTTTATAAATTTTAAAATTAATAATTATATAAGTTTTCAATGACCTTAAAATTTATGAAACTTGAATTAATAATTCTACGAGATAAATTTAGAATTTAACTAATTAAATTATACCCCTTAGAGTTAACCGGATTCTTTCGTATTATAATTGCACGTGAGATGTTAATTATAATAAAATAAATATTTTTATTTATAATTTTTTTAATTTATATATAATTTATTAGGTAGATTTACACTTTAAAATGCATTTTATCATCAATTTTTACTATTTTAATTTTTTAAGATAGGATTTTATATAATTATTTTTATGAAAAAAATCTCAAATTTTATCTAATTATCTTGATAGTTATTCAATAAATGCACATAATCCTTTAACAAATCATTCAAGAATTATGGACGCATTATAAAAATAATGGAAGAATTATATATATATATATATAAAATTTACAATTTACATGTGAAAAAAAGTCAGCTTAAAAACAAGTTCTACATTCCCCGTCGTACAGTCCCCGCCCTCTCATCAGAAACCTTGCCGTAATCAACTAAAAAACTAAGGCCATTGGCATTAAGTTCAACCAGACCCCACACATCACCGTCAAGCCAGACCTTAAATCCATCGCCACGTACACCCACACCCCCCTTAAAAACCCGCCATTTGCCCTTTTCTTTTCAAAATCTTTCAAAAAAAGCTCAAAACCCCATCTCTCTCTCTCTCTCTGCAACCAAAACCCTAGAAAATTCCACTACACTCGCCTCCACCATGCACCCGCACTCATACACCGTCGATTCCCTTTCCAAATGCCAAGACCTTGCCTCATCCATCCTCTCCTCCTCCACTCCTCCTCAGATCTCATCCATCTGCGCCTCCATCGACTCTTTCTTGCACTCTCACTCCCCCGATCAATCCCGTAACTTCTTCTACTTCGCCTTCCCTGCTCTAATCTGCAAGCTCTACGGCTTCGATGACTCAACGTCGCCGCCCAGCAAACAATCTAGCGCGGGTGGATGGCTCGACATTATCCACCTAGCAAACGACCCCGCTTTAACTTCTAGGGTTTTCAACGTCCTCTCTCCGAACAGCCTACTTTTCCAATCAATCTTCGCCGTTGATCGTCAATCTTTAGTCAAATACGTGTTCCCAATCGAACGGTTGCCGGAGTGGGCTCGGTTTTTGCTATCAGGCGAAAAAGATTGTCAGGTTTTAAACAATCTTTGCCCTCTTTTTAAAGATAAAATAAAAGGAGATTCGATTAAAGGAGGAGGATCGTTATATTATCAAGTACAATTAAATGTATTTGAATTTTTCATGTTCTGGTTCGCTTATTACCCTGTTTGTAAAGGAAATAGCGATAATTTGAAAAGTTCAGCAACTGAAAGACCCAAAAAGTTCAAATTAGAGAATTGGACATCTTCCATTCCGTGTTTTTCACATCCAAAACATGGAAACGAGCGAAATGTGGAGGGCAATGATGGTCTTTATATGCGGCTATTGTATGCATATTTGCGTGCGTTTGTGCCTATTTGTGATTTGAATTCACACCAGCCTTATCGTGGTTCGCTTTTGCATTATGGGTATGGAAATGATGGGTCAGTTTTGTATAGAGCGGAGTTTTTTGTTAATGTGTTGATGAATTATTGGTTGGTTGATAGTGATTTCTCGCCGTTGAATGTTAATGTTTGCAAGTCATGGGGTTTGTCCTTTAAGTTGAGGTTGGTTCCAAGGGAGACCCCGCCGACACCAAATTTAGGTGAGGTGGTGAAGTTGTTGGTTAAGTATTTGAATTTGAGTGCGAGTGCAGTGAAAGAAGGGATTGAACATTTTGGGAATCCATCTTGGAGTAGGGTTTCTTCTGAGAAATCAAAGGAATTGGCTGCATCCATCAATAGCCCAATGCACGTGGTTGGTCCATGGAATGCTTGGATTCAGAGGCCGGCGTATAGGTTTATTTTGAGGTCATTTCTATTTTGTCCTGTGGGGACTTCAATTAAGAATGCTTCACAGGTGTTTTCTGTGTGGGTTACTTATTTGGAACCGTGGAAGATTGGTTTGGATGATTTTGCAGAGCTTGATGCCATCGTAGACGGGTCAGGGAATGATGTGAAGAAGGAAGGTGAGAAGAATGTAGAATGTGGGTATTCTTCTTCATGGCAGGGCTATGTACTGTCCAATTATCTGTACTACAGTTCGTTGGTTATGCATTTTATTGGGTTTGCACACAAGTTTCTTCACACTGATCCTGAAATGATAGTCCAGATGGTATTGAAGGTTTGTCACTACAAAATAAGCCATTTCCCTGGGGGTTAATGCTTTTCAGAATTTGTGTTTCCTTTCCATCTTTATTCTGGTTAATTTTCTTTCAGCGTGTTTCCTGCTTTCTATGGTAAATCAATTTAGAGATGATTAGGAATGCTTGGTTTTGGACTTGACCATGATTTTCGTTTGTGTTAATGTTCATCTCGCACAGGGTTCTCACATGGGCTTATATGATCATTTATTATTCTTTCTCTGAGCTACTTGATATTCCTGCCTGTTAATTGTCAGCCTTTCCTTTTCTGGGATTTTTTTTGGTTGGGGGGCTATGACCAGAGCTAGGATAGCTTCCGTAACTTTATGTACTCTTTCTCTGTTATATATTATATGTAATTTTGGGTTGTTACTCAGGATTTGAAATATCTCAGATTAATTTGCATCATTTCAAATCAGCATTCAAGTCTAGCTTGCAAAATATTTGTAGTAGATTTCATGTACACTTTGTTGGACATGCACAGATGATGTTACATGTCACTTGTTTCATGTTTAGCCATCATTTCTTGACTATACAAACCCCAATGCATTAATTGAGCAGTATTTCATCTTGGGTTTTAGTATCCATGGAGTGACGGACCAGTTTTATCCCATAATTCTCTTCTGCTCTGCACTTTAGACAGGAGCTTTCATGTTTATAGGTTTTAGTCAGATGCTGATGGAGTCTCGTGACTCTGTCAGTGAAAAGAAACAAATAAGCTTCAGGATAAGGCACATGTACTGAGTTCTCTGGAGTTCTGCTGTTGATTAAAACTTTTTAGAAGGTTCAAGGCTTTACCTGGTGCTGGAAGTTACCTCCAGTGATCAGAAATGTAGTATTTGAGCATAAGCAGTGTCTTGATGGCTTGATGATGAATTTGTATTCACACGTGATCCAGTCTAGTGAAGGTTGGTTAGTCTTCATTGCAGCACTGGCCTATACTTGTAGAATTTTCCTCAATAAGCTGAACTTAGAACTTATTGTAAGATGATCTGTTTGTCATAAACAGAAAGTCATTTTGAGCGTAATTAATCATTATTCTTTTTGTTTAGAACTGGGGAAACAAAAGTTGCTGTTCTATTTTTAGTAGATATATTTTGTAGTCGAAAAAGTGTGTAAATTATATACAAAAAAATAATAATTTGTTCAAGCATTCAAGAATTGGAGCTTTTGCATGTTTACAATACTATCATGCGAGTATTAGCTGCATAATCACTTATCTTCATTGGAGATTTAGTGCAGATTGTTTTGCTTTAACTTTTACCATTTTATTTAATTCATGCCTTGTGATTTCAGGTGATAAAAATCCTGACATCATCTAAAGAGTTGACTGATCTTATAAAGAATGTTGATACTGCTTTTCATTCGCAACAAGCTGGGTCTGGCAAATCAATGCTTAGCAGTTTATATGGATATATACCTTTAATTCGTGAACAGTTGCAGGTAGATTCATCCCTCTCCCTTTCTCTCTGCTCTGGTTTCATTTTTCTAATGTTGTGTTGAGACCAAACAATCGAGGCACTGGCCTTGCAAGAAGTTTTTAATATTGAACCAAACGATCCTGTCTTTTTTAGTTCTTTATTGTTGATATCTTTAAAGTGTTTCTTGTAATCTCAATGATTGTACTTTATGAAATTCATGGTCTTGAGTTTTTTCCAACTACCTTTATCTGGTGCTAGGATTGGGAAGATGGTTTATGTGAGAGTGATGCTGATGGTTCTTTCCTGCATGAGAATTGGAACAAAGATTTAAGGCTCTTTGGTGATGGAGAAGATGGTGGGCAACAGCTACTCCAGGTTTCTATAGCTGTTATTTATGAATTTGTATTTGTGTTGGGTACATTGATCTCCCTTCTGACTATGGATCAGGATCTCAGTTGTTGGTTATGATGTTATTATTGCAGTTGTTCATATTGCGTGCTGAAGCTGAGTTGCAAGCCAACTCTGGTGATAATCTTGCATGCAACCTTCAGTGTATAGATTCATTAAAGTTGCAGGTAAGATGTATTTTTGGTGGCCATACTGTGAAACAGATCTCATTTATGCCAGAAGTAAAACATGTGCAATCACGGGATGAAATATTTAAGCCCAGAAGAGTTTTCAACGATGCATCGCACAATGTTAAATACAAGGGTGACTGGATGAAGCGCCCCATTTCTGATGATGAGGTAGCATGGCTGGCAAAATTTCTTGTATGGCTATCAAGTTGGCTAAACGAGAATCTTGGGCTATATCAAGCAGAGAGAAGCAATGGTGATCCTAAATTGTCATATGTGGAGCCTCCAAGTGATGCAGGAAATGTGTGTGGATCCACAGAAATCATGAAGATGACATTATGTGCTGTTTGTTCTTGGTTTTTGATGTCGGGTGCTATGGTAGTGAGGCTAATGAGAAAGCATGGTGCAAGGGTGAACCTCAGGATGTTAGCATCAAAGAAGATTGTGACGGTTTTGCTCGCATGTTCTGTATTCAGTATATTGAAGAGAGTTTTTGGAACAAGTTAAGTGTAGATAAGAGTGAAGGATACATGGATTGACAGAAGTATAAACCATAAGGATAACATACTAATATAGAGAAAAGAAAAAAAGATGCAAAGGTGTTTTTCCTGTTCTTGCAATGGTTGTTGCATTGAGTTTTTCGTTTGTCCTCTGGCCCTCTTGTAATTAAGCATGATTTTTCGGCAGTGTGAAAAATGTTTCAGGCCTTGCTTCTCTCTTGAATTTTCTTTCTGGCTTATCTGCTCATGTATGCAGCACCGCAGTATCAACGATCTTTGTTCCACGCTTTGTTCATCTTATAGTTCTGTCTAATGACTGAATCCCATGGTGCTTAGCTTTTAGCTTTTTAGGCACGGTTCTTAAAAACATCAGGTAAAATTCACCGTCAAATATAGTACTAGATGCATCTCCTGTTAAAGGTTTTTTGATGGTTGCAAGGTTATTTATGCTCAACTTATGAGATTGAGGGTAGTGTGGCGAGTTCTTGAAACCTTGGTTAAAAAAAAAGGGTTACAGTTTGAAGGGGGTTTTATTTTTTGTCAGGTTCCTAAAATGTTAAAAGAATTGGCCAGTGGTTAGGAGCCTTGTTGTTGCGGGCGATGAAGGCATAACGAGGACAGGAGGCTGTGATTTGCCCCCGTTCAGCAGGATCAAATTAAAGAAATCGTTAACAGTTACATTTTAAACCAAAACTCAACTTTTATCATAATTGTTTTCCCCTGATCAAAAAAACCATGATGATCAAACTTTTCTTGTCAAATAAAATTCCGACACTGATAATTTTGGTTGTAAAAATTGTGACAATACACTATTTAACAAGTTGACTAGAATTTACTTTATTTATTTTATTTCTTTAATTTTTTTATTTAGATATACTAAGTTTGACAATATGATACTAAAATAATTTTCATATAATTTAATTTAAAATATGGTCCAGAGGAGGTTTTAAGTTTAACTGTTAACACTAAAGGTTCCAGAGGAGGTTTTAAGTTTAACTGTTAAATAATAATACTAAAACAATTTCTACTGTTTAAGTATTATTTTTTTACATAAAACAAACTTAAGCATAGTGCCGGAAATAACCTGTAAATGCTACTTGATATGCAAACAATGCCATTGCATAAAAAAATCTAAGAATGGAGAGAGTTCAATCAATATATATATATATATATCCAGTTGCTTAATGATTGGACCGGGATCAATGCCTTTTGGGTTTTATAGGCCTTTTATGATGGGGAACTGAACGGGTCCGTTACTGGGTTGAATGCCTTGTAAAACGGGCAAGGCCCATTTTTCCATTAGAAACACGATGTCGTTGCGTCCTTCTTTTTATCTTTTTTCGGTTTCCTTTGAAAGGAGACGGCAGTGTCGCAGCCGCCCGCCCTCTCTACGAGCAAGCGAAAGGCTCTTCCCAACACGTCGAAATTTAATACTACAGCCAATAAAACAATGACACGTCATCTTTATGCCGCGTGTCATGCATCCGGCATGAAACTCCCATCACTTATAAAACCCGTTTGGTATGGCGTAGAAAAATATAAAATTAATATTTTTTAAAATTTATTTTCAAATTTATATATAAAAATAATTTTAACATTTTAAAATATATTTTTAAAACACCAAAGCAGATCGAATTTCCCAGCAGGCCACCGAATTGCCTGCCTCTCGCATTGAATTGCTTCTAAGTCTCGAATGCAAATCTACAGAAATCGAAGTACTTTTTCGTAATTCAACATTTTCCCTATTTAGCTCACCAACAACAAAAACTTAAACTTAAACCCCCTTTTTATTAATACTATTATTTTTTTCTAAGATTTTTTAGAAAGAAAAAGAATCGTTCAATTTCGCCGTGACTCTGTTTCTATTAATTTCTTAGATTAGATTAGTTTTTGTGTATGTGAAAGTGAATGGAATCATTTTGTGTGATCTCCATAAGATAATTAAACGACTTAGTTTTCTTTCATTCTCGATCTCTCTCAGTCTGCTTCTGTAATCCTAGCGTCTCCATGGCTGCACCTTTCTTCTCTACTCCGTTTCAACCTTACGTTTATCAGGTACACAATTTCTCTCTGTTTTCACAACTACGTGTATATAATTGGTTGCTTAGGTCAACGAATAAAAACTAAATTGATGGATGTTGAATTTAGGGTTTTAGTATGGTTTGGTGTTTGATCCGTTTCCTCATTGAGTAGTGTAAGTGAGTTTGTTACTCAATTTGATATAAATGTGATCTATGTTTCCTAATGGAACAAGATTTTGTGTATGTTGGGATTTTTTTTATAGATATAGAATTAAGGAATGTTGTGGAATTGGCATCGCTTAATTTTAAATGGGTTTGTCTTACATTTTGAGTTTCTCGCCTCCTCAGCAAACATTGATCAGAAATCTAGTCATGTAAACTCTTCTTCCTGTGGTTCTTGCTAGCTCAGTCTTCGATTTTCTTAGGAATTAAGTTTGGTTCTTCATTGGCTAGTGCCTACATCAATATGAATATAAAGATTGTGTAATCAGAATGGATGAGGAGGGAGCTATTGGATGAAGATATAAGAAGAATGTGCTGAAGAATACAATAAAATAGGAATGATTAATATGGCTAATAAAAGGAAAATAAAATGTGATTTGAACAGAGGTTGTTCGAGTTTGTACCATGTGGAAAATGTTATGAACCTTTTATTTTAGGAAGTCCTCCTGTGGTGTAATGTTTTAAACTGATTTTAATGGATAATATATGAATGAAATTTCACCATACAATTTATATCATTGATTATTAGTATAGATTGAAACCAATGTGCGGTGGTGTTAGTCCACCATATGCTATGTTTGGGATATTTGCTTTAGTTGTTTCCACTTGTTTTCTTTAGGAGAGCAACAAAATTGACTTGTGTTGATACATGGTTTATTTGCTAGTCCTGTGGATATCAGTTGCTCTGGTTTGGTATCATCAGTTCTGTCCTCTTTTGAAGTCTAGTTTGATATGAGGATCACCAATTTATATTGCCTCCTTTGTTGTTGAGTGTCTATATTTGATTTGCTAATATTACATACACTGCGTAATCTCATGATGGGGGATAATGTGATGCAGAATCATCAAGATGCTGTGATACCTTTCCAGATTTTTGGGGGTGAAGCTCAAGTAGTTCAGGTGTGTGTGATAATTATCTCTTGCTATATGCCACTCCTTTTTGCTTCCCTGCTTTAAATTTCTTCTTTGGTATTGATTTGTGAATCCATCAGATTATGTTGAAGCCGCAAGAAAAAGTTATTGCAAAACCAGGTAACGTGATCAAAACACTGTTTTCTTTATGGCTTGTACAATTCTGTGTTAGCTTTGCAGCTGACTGATATTTTATATTTTATTTGTTTTTATCTTCTGCACTTAAATGATTAAACACCCCTTTCATTCACTATTACTATGCTGCGTGGAACTAACATCCAGGTAAACTGCAGGCTCCATGTGCTTCATGTCTGGGTCAATTGAAATGGAGAATGTTTTTATCCATGAAAATGAAGTAGGTGTCTGGCAGTGGTTTTTTGGCAAGGCTGTTACCAGTGTAGGCTTCCACAATCCTGGGCCCAGTGATGGATTTGTTGGAATTGCTGCACCTTCTCTTGCAAGAATCCTCCCGGTTTGTCCTTCCAACTGTCAAGTTCTGAGATGCCTTTTTTTTTTTTTTATCTTGTGTTGTAAAGCTCATGATCCTGAATTTTGATTTAATATGATTAGCCATTGGTTTGTAATTTGTCTGGTCTGGTGTTTATTTGTTCTGCAGATTGACTTGGCAAAGTTTGGAGGAGAGATTTTATGCCAGGTAAAGCTAATTCACACTTTTGTTTGTGTCCCTGGTTTTGCTGATAATAATCTTGTCTTCTAATGGTATTGGACATCTTGCAAATGAAAAATCATGTATACTCAACTCTTCTACTATTATATGATTTTCAAAGTGAAAGTATGTCCTTTTCTCCTTACTTTTTTACCTGCTGCAAATTTATTAGTTTTGAAATTGTTGCGTAGCCAGATGCATTCCTTTGTTCCGTCAGTGATGTGAAGGTCAGCAACACAGTAGATCAGAGGGCACGTAATGTCATGCCTAGTATAGAGGTGAGATTATGTTGGTTGTCAGAGCACTCTCCACACTGACGGTTCAGTTTTGTCCGTTTGCCTTTGTTGACTGGCTGTCATGGCCCTTCAAGCGGATTTTTTTTCGTTTTTTCAACCTGTCTATATGTGTTCTTTCCTCAAGTCTTCCGATTTATTTATTTGACGGGGATATTGATGCTTCTCTAGGGATTTTTAAGGCAGAAACTAACTGGACAGGGACTTGCATTTATTCTTGCTGGAGGAACTGGTATGTATTTTCTGACATCTTAGGAACTATTAAGACACATAAAAGTATGGGTCTTCCCTCAATTCTACTCTATGCATTTGGATCAGGAACAGCTAGCCTCTTAGGCATATCTCTGTGGGTTGGAATATCTTGGCAGGCTTCAGTGTCAGGCCATGCTTGTTTCCAATACCCGCTCACTTGTTTCCTTTCTGTTCTTCTCTTTATCATGTCATTTTCCTCTTTCACTGCTTTAACCCTTTTGTGCTTGATCTTTGATTATATATACTTTTTTCATGAATGCGTTTACTGTTGTTTCCTTTTTGTCACACTAGTTTCTGGATCCATCCCGTTTTGCATTGACCCTGGCAGCTTTATGGTTTTCATTTTTGCTAGTTGCACAGAAAGTCCTTGAGGTGGGTGAGGTATTAACTGTTGATGTGTCTTGCATTGCCGCCCTTAATACCACTGTCAATGTTCAAATCAAGTACAATGGGCCTGTGAGACGGGCAGTCTTTGGGGTTAGTCGCACTTTTTTATGGATTTCACTGTCTATCTCTAATGTCATTTTTTTGTTTACTTTAGTCTTAGCTTCTTGAAGCCCCTTATTTTTAATGACGCAGCAGACTTCCTTCTTCATACTGTGCTTGTCATTCAATCATAGTAATTAGTTAGTACTCAAGGCTTCTTGCCTAATGTGATATTGTTAGTTGGCTGAGTTAGCTGCATTACACTGTCGGCATATGTCAGGTTAATCCTGAACAGAAAACAGATAAAATTTGACTTTGACCATGCCATGAGGTCCTTTTCATGTCTTGGTAGCAGCAACATGTAACAATGCAGGACTTTTGTCATTTTTCATTTAGGAAACAGACTCGCAAATTTGCTGTAATTTTTATCTGACATCAAGCGCCCCAGGTTACCCTTCTCTGTTTCTGCACAATGACACCCAAGTGCTCATTTTCAGGGACCCACAA